GTTCACTGTCCCTCAAAAATGAGATCAAGTGGATTAACACCCAAATTAGGTCAAACTGCCTTCAGAAACCTTGTGCATTTTGGTGGTCTGAACATCTTAACGTAAACTTGTCTAGTCAAGAACCTTATCCCAGAGCAAGGTATACTTCGCTCTGTGTTACAGCCATCTGTTCATCACACTCGAGTGAACCGTACGGCTCACTATAGTTGCGCATTGCGGAAGCCAAAACTGAGTAGTGCCAACCGGGTTGTAAGGCTCGTTCACATGAATGACCGTAATCTGCCAGTAGACGTTGTCTAACATTACAGTGTTACGACAGCTCCTGATCCCATATCCTTTCTGATCTTAATACGAAGCGTATGAAAGCTCTAGTTGAATATCAAACTTAAGTGACCTACCTGTTCCACGTCAGACAACCAAACTAGACCACCTCGAAATCGAATGATCGTAGCAGTGACGCTCGGAACTGCGGTAGACATATTTACTCAGTCGGTTGGTTGATTGTTTAAACACTCAGGCTTCCCTCATAGTCTTTTACGAACCACACACCACGTCGAGTGGCTTTTACGGAGGTCTTCGGATTTATTGCTGCCCAAGTCCAGTACATGTCAAATGACATTCACGACCAGTGTTATTGATGCATCACTGACCAGCTGAAAAGTGCACCAAAGCGGATTGGTTCCACTGCAGCCTGTGCGACAAGTAAGCGATGCGTCGTAATCAAAGACATTTGTTTTTGTATAGGCATCCATCGGGTTAACCTAGGTTGCTTAAAACTCTTCGACGGCTCACAACCAGTTTCGTCTCTCTTGCCGGTTCTGGTCCGATAGTGCAGCTCCCGAGCTTCCTGTTATTCTTGAACTCAATTGACTGCAGTTAGCGAAATGCACCCACTTACACACTAATTTGGCTTAGCAAGGAAGCTCAGATGGATCCGATTGAATTCAGTTCAAACCATTTGTCTGCGTGGTACTCAGTTCCTGTCGGATTGCGGTAACGCGCCTCTTGAGAGGAGCGTTATGAGGTCATCATCCCGGCTTTCAATAAACTGGAACTTGCGTAAAAAGGACCAGTAAAACGGATACTGAAGGCTGTGTAGATGCTAATGGGGTGTAAGTAGTACTGCAGTAACAAAAGGGACTTCTTGAATTGTCACTATGGTTCTGACACGAATGCTGTGATAAATATGCAACGGATCGAAGAACCACGATAACTGGAGCTGCGGACACCCGACATACACCCGATTTATCACGTCTGAACGGCTAACAGATTCACTCTCGGAATGCCTATTCGACCACCCAAGCTGGAATATTCTCACCTGATGATATATGAAAATTCAGGTGGGTCCAGTTTGAGTCGAATGGGTATTGGTAGTACTCCGACTTCAGATGTCTTGGACCAAAACTCGGAACGATCAACAGAAGTCTTACAAATAACGCCTTCTAACTAATACTGGATCAGATTTAGTCCTTACGCCTGTGGGTATACTCAGCATGCTTCCTGTTAGCAACATTCTACTGTGATATAATATTCCTATTTTTCCATCTGTCCGGAGGCCAGCCGTCCCCAATTTGGACGGATGTCACGTGCAGGACACGGACCAAACGAGGGCATGCCCTGATTGGTCAGAATGCCAACGAATCCGGATCGACCATCTTTGGCTCGACGCCTCTCGCCTCCTCACGGAGATTGTGCCACGACCTTGTGGAATACTCCATAATTACCCCATAAATACAGTTGTAATAATTTCATTTTGCCTCCATAAAGGGCTGTCTGAAGCTCCCGTGCCTTCTGACATACCATAGTGGGCGAGGCAGGAAGCCGAGGAACCGATGCAGAGTTGTAGTAACGTTCAGCAAGACACAATACCGCCATTCATCGAAACCATTTTTACCGATGGTATGAGTGTTTTTACAAACCTTGTGATACAGGGTCGTGGCGGCCTGCACCACGATATCTTTCAGTGTGTTAAAAGTTGCGGTCAGTCACTCTCTGCCAGGAGAGCTTATAACACGAATCCTTCCACGGTCTCGGGGCCTTTACAGACCCGTTGGGAGAGGAGATGGTTTCGATGTGGCACCAACAGTTAAACTGACTTTATATACAAGGCCAAAATTCATTAGTCACATATGGAAGGTGTAGATGGTCTTGGTCGAGTCGCTATCTTTCCTTGACAAGTGACTGCCAGTAACTGCGCGGCACTGGAGAAAACTCAAAATCAATGAGGGAAAAAACGAATGAGTTCCAGAAAAGTCCTTGATACTTTTAGCGGAGGCCAAGTTCAAGTAAACCGCGGCTAGCTCGGGGTAGCCAAAATTAGTGTTATTGCAGCTTCATTTCTAACTAACTGCCTTGAAACCCCCCTGTGGATGCTCGAACGGTGGACCGGAATGGTCTCAGATAGGTTTCCCACTGATTTATACAACGTCTACCCCACTCGTAATGGGAAATAATTTTAATCTTTTCACGAGTAATCCCTCTTTCCCTTTTAAAAACATAAGTACAAGTAAAGCAAGAAACGCCTGGTAGTTGCCAGTTTGAAAACAGGTATTGTCCTAATGAGGCGACTGTGTTANAACGCCTGGTGTTGCCAGTTTGAAAACAGGTATTGTCCTAATGAGGCGACTGTGTTAGACACTTGCTTGTCTCCCTCCAGCCCTGATTTTAAGTACGCTACTCATTTAGTTTAGTCTGTTAAGAACTGTCGCTAATAACATTAGTGCCTCACCGCTATCCTTATCTGAAAGACTGATTTCGCTTACATTTTTTGTTATCTTTCAAGCTGATCCCCACCTCGAAACAGCCTAGAAACACACCTGCCTGCACTACAAATGCCGACATGCTCAATTTGTGCGAACCTTGTCGACTGAACGGTGGTGGTCAGCCCTCACGAAGTCGAGTTCCGATTGGCCAACAATGTGTGACCAATAGCTAACCACGTTTCAGTGTCCACTTGTTGCCACTCCAGTGATACACTCAGGAAGTAAATTTCTGTCTTTGTTACCATGACGCTTGTACACTTTTCGACTTGTTTGGGTATTGAATAGGGTTGGTGTCTTTCGGGGTGTTTCGTTGGAATCATCAGCTTAAGTGGTAAAATCGACCGCTGAGCTGAGACATCAACATCTTTTCAACACGAAAGACTGTAACTCACAGAAATGAAGCCCTTTCATGCTATAATTTCAATTTGGTTCTCACGGGAAACTCAACTGAATATGCTGCACAAAAGCCGCCTCATGGTTCAGTTGCTAGGATATTCGAGATATCGCAGTGTATTCCCATAAAGGAAACTGCTCATAAGGTTGCTGAAAATTCTTCGACAGCCCATGACTGCTTTCGCTCTTCTTGGAGCTCATCACGTTCGTAGCGTCAACAAGTGCACAGGTTGGTCACTGACGGGTACAGTGCAGTGTCAACGTCGGGCGGAATGTTGGCCAAGTAGTGAGGGTTGCGGGCGTCCTTTCCGAAGACAGTCTCGTGATTCTCATTGGCGGTGCGATTACATGGAACTCATGAGAGGGCAAGTCACGACAGGCTCAGCAAGCGGGACACAAACGTGCTTGGGTAATTGGGTCAGCTGCACACAGACACATGCCAATACACAAGTGTCGGACAGGACGGTCTTTGCGGCAAGGTGAGTGACGGGTGCAGATGAGCAAAACAAGTGGAGATCAAAATTACGTAGGTGGAGTGAACAAATGAATGGGGGAGTCATCATGAGGTCAAGTTAGATTCAATACAAATGCTGAGGCACCGTACAAAGCTGAACCTTTAGACCTGTTCCAAAGTCACGCAAATAACAGTCGATGGTATAGTCGCTTGGAAATCGGTGTTATGATGCATCAGTGGATGGTAGGCCAAAGTCTGCCATAATGCTTTGTGAATCCATTTGGGGCTTGGCGCATTTCCAGTGCCGACTAAATCTACTCTATGTTGCCTGTTAGCTATGAACATGCACGTCACTGGAGCACGTTTGACTGCAGGGACAGGGGACAAGAATACCTGGTGCACCACACAGCGTACTCAGCAAAGCAATGGTGTGGGACACCTTGTGTGCTCATAATAAGCAGGTTATTCTCTGCTTGCCAGCTGTCTAAGAATGAAAATTTGTCTCAGCGACGAAACGGGTTATGACAACTGGAAACACCAACTCAATCAAACTAGCTGAGTTACGTAGTGCCGCAGTTGTTCACTTAGCTTGGTGGTACACTTATTGATTGAGGTTCTCTTATTTCGGCCTAAAATATTCTGATATACATTTTGCAACTCTGTAGTAGAAGGGCGCACTGTGAGAAACCAGTTCCACAGACTCCTCAATACTGTGACAAACAACAGGGTACAACATGAAACAACTGTGCTAAAGGATGCTTTGTTTGAAAACTGATACCCAAGTGGGGTTCCTTTAAGTCGAAAGAAGCACGTGATTTTGCTTTGACCGACTGTCACTTCAGCACTTTAGGTGAAGTTATTCCATTCCCCTTACACAGAAAAGTGCACAACCGAGGTCTTTTGAGAGAACCGCCAGCTTCTGAAGCTAACAGAGGGAATATTTCGTGCCTCTAGTCAGTAAGCCAAACTCTAATATGCTTCAACAACGCGAGAAACACCAAAAAGCGACTCAGTTCTCTCGGGTTTTGTTTGATTTGAAGCTCAAGGTAAAACCACAGCCCGACAGGAACACAAGAACTTTGTTTTCCAACCAAAATCACACAGTCTTTGCAAACACTGAAGACCACTAAATGACACATTGTTTAGCATCTGGGAGAATGCCAAACTACACAAGACTGTTTGAGATTTTCAGTTTTAGTAGACCTTTTGTTAGGCAGGATTCCACACGGACCCCGCTATACCGCACGTCTTCGGGCGCTGCTATGGCCGGTAAGCCTAGCCCGCACGAGATTGGCCAAGGATTCATTCGGCTTGCCGGTCCGGCATCAAGACGAGGTCTGATTGGTCGAAAATCTGGACCCAACAGCCAATCATGACCCAGTATTGGCCAAATGCCGGTTGCCAATGGCCCATCCAGAACGCGTCAGAATTTCCAGAAGGCTATAACCACCTACGCTATATATACGAAGCACTGTACAACTGTTCTTGACTTCGTTTTGGGCGTTGATAGACCTTGTGCACCTTTAGTGGTTGTTTTGACGTGAACGCTAGCTTGGGAGGCTCAGACCGAGAACTAAGCTGAGGAAAATACCGTCACAACACCTTTGCTTCAGCTTCTTCTCCAGATCGATGGACAGCCCCTTCTCTCGAATGGCTATTTCCTTTGCGAGCAAGACATATTCTTCCTTGTTAATTATACCATACCTGATAGCAGCTACGAACCTATTTACCCACCGTACTACGTTGTACAACCCTGGTCTCTTTAATAATGGCAGATAGTTTCTCAGTAGTGTCATCAGTCATCGATGAATCGCTCGATGACATCAGCTGTATTCGGCCATGTGTCGAGTATCACTTTTCCCCTGCTCTTGCTGGGATGGGACTCGGTTTACGTGGCTGTATCTAGCAAGTGAACTGAGGTCATAATTCACAGACATATTTGAACAGCACTCGTTCGATGATTGTGTTGTTTAGGTTTTTGTCAAACTTGATGTGTAAGCCGTTTCCTGTTAGACTGGTGGGCAGTTTTTCATTGCAAAAGCAATTTGCACGCAAGCATAACCAAGGTTGCAAACTATTCACAGATTTTTATTGTATGAAGGTTGTCCATAAACGGAGAATGCTGTATTCACGTAGTAAGAACCTGGAATTGTCGATACTGATTCTTTTCTCTTCAGGATACTGTTTGTTTATCAGTTTGGTTGTATCTGTGTTTTCATTTGGACTGGTAGGACGACAAACCATCCTGGAACATTATTACTTGGCTTACTGACCCCAGTTTACCAATGTTTTCTAATTTAGCTACTAGCAACGGCAACTCGTTGATGATTGGCCGATGCGCCAGTATTGGTTGATTCAATTTGACCGCATAGCCGATAAGCTGATCCCAGGTAAAGAATGAGTAAGTGTACCGATAATTCAAACTACAGCGACAGACCCAGTAACTAGAAGGATGGAGGTGATAGCGTGAGAGAAGTTGGAACATGTCTATCTCTCGTCCGTACGAGATATCATCAGTGTGCCTCATAGCATTTGTGCTATACATCTGGTTCATGTGTTTGGTGATCTGTGCCTTTGATCGACATGCCACTCCCGTTTACTTACCCATCCTTGATTGTACCGAGGCCTTCCGTGTTGTTTTTCGAAGGTTTATGCTCCGCAGAGTTGCATAAAAAGGCGTTGACTTCCTTCTGACGCGCTCTAGTCAATAATATTTTACCGGCCATGGTCACTTTACTTACCCTATACTCTAATCGCGACTCACTCAGGGCCTCCTTGAATGTATCGTTCTTGCGTTCTCCCATGTGTACGTGGGATACGAATATGTGTATGAAGTTTTGATTGGTTGCGATTATTTTGCCTCTAAAATACACGTAGATTTATTGGGTGGACTTGAGGAACAAGTCCTCAAGTCCTCCTCAAGTCCACCCAATAAATCGATGAAGTCCTTTTTTTGTTCACCTCAGGTAACGATGCGAGTCACCTACCGGGGTCAATAGAGACTCACTCCTTCAAGCACAGTGTAGGATATCTACATACTACTCTGTTCTGTATTCTTAGCTAGTCTGTACTCAATCAATCTGTTTTCATTAAACTCAAGTGTTTGTGCCTTTATTTCTATCCTCAGTCGTCTCTCTCTCTCCCTATATACGTTCTACTCCACTGGACCTCCTGTTCGCCAATTTTTTATGTTTGATGTACGATGGTCACGTGTTTAAAACATGTCTGCAGAAGCATTGGAATGGGATAACTAGAGTGGCCTCAGCTATGTTACTAGCAAATATTCTGGAGCCCGGCCATACTACACACTAGGAATGTTGAAGAACTCTAAACATCTTTTTCATGGAGAAAACTGCTTACAAGGCTGTTGAAATCTCTTCCACAGTCTCCGATAAGAGAATAACGTCCAACTGAAACACGAGGCGGCCTTCGTGCAGCACACTCAGTTGAAAATATCATAAAAGAGAGATTCAACTGGCATCCAGGTAGACTTCCCGTGAAAACCAAACAGATAGGGAAATGAGTGTATATGTTAAATCCCATTTGTCCATCGTATCCGGCTTCATGCAAACCTCCACCGACGTGCCATACAACGCTCCAGGTGAAGTATAGATTGACTAGAGCTACCAATTACCACAACTATCCGACATCTGGCTTGTGGGACAGTCTCAAAAAGCTCACCTTATCTGAACTCCTACCATGAATTCTATTATCTTGTTGAACTGTTCGCGGAGCTTGGCAGTTGACTTGCAAATGTTTCGTCACCCATACGAGGAGACCCAGCCAACTGCGCACTGGTGATGTCTTCTCGTATGGTGGTGAAACTTTTGCGAGTCAAATGCCAAGCTCGGTGAACAGACCAACAGCCACCTGATCAACAACCAGTAAACTCAACCGAGCTGTTTCTATCCTGTTATCTGTTGTTGTCTTGTTCAATATTTATTTATTTATCAAATCCACTGTAAGGGTGTAAATTGTGGGCTAAAATAACCTGTGTCACGGTGCATAAACCTCTCTTGGTTCGACGGAAACGTGTATGTGGGTAACTGCTGTCCGGATAAGGTCACTATAAAAGTTGCCTCACAGTCACGTGCTCAGCATGTCACCTGATCAACTATCCTAATATGCCGTCGTTAAATCGATTTTTATGTGGAATAAATTTGCCCAACGCAGTGTCATCAATTCCATCGGTGGCGTGAGGGACATACACGGCAAGCTAAGCAAAATGCCACCTTAAACGACATCATTTAGCAAATTCTCAGTGGAGCGGTTTGAAATCGGAGATGAATTATTGCAAAATGATATAGCAAAAGATTTGTCTCCGTGTAGCTCTTGGTTTAAGTCAAATTTAATGATACTGAGATAAACGAGTCACCATTCCATACAAGTCATTCTCGAGGCCAATCCGCGCTTCAATTTCGGAGGAAATGGCTCTATAAAACAGCAAGTAAATGGTCCGTAGGACAAAACGTGCCACTGGACCTCCTGTTCGCCAATTTTTTATGTTTGATGTACGATGGTCACGTGTTTAAAACATGTCTGCAGAAGCATTGGAATGGGATAACTAGAGTGGCCTCAGCTATGTTACTAGCAAATATTCTGGAGCCCGGCCATACTACACACTAGGAATGTTGAAGAACTCTAAACATCTTTTTCATGGAGAAAACTGCTTACAAGGCTGTTGAAATCTCTTCCACAGTCTCCGATAAGAGAATAACGTCCAACTGAAACACGAGGCGGCCTTCGTGCAGCACACTCAGTTGAAAATATCATAAAAGAGAGATTCAACTGGCATCCAGGTAGACTTCCCGTGAAAACCAAACAGATAGGGAAATGAGTGTATATGTTAAATCCCATTTGTCCATCGTATCCGGCTTCATGCAAACCTCCACCGACGTGCCATACAACGCTCCAGGTGAAGTATAGATTGACTAGAGCTACCAATTACCACAACTATCCGACATCTGGCTTGTGGGACAGTCTCAAAAAGCTCACCTTATCTGAACTCCTACCATGGATTCTATTATCTTGTTGAACTGTTCGCGGAGCTTGGCAGTTGACTTGCAAATGTTTCGTCACCCATACGAGGAGACCCAGCCAACTGCGCACTGGTGATGTCTTCTCGTATGGTGGTGAAACTTTTGCGAGTCAAATGCCAAGCTCGGTGAACAGACCAACAGCCACCTGATCAACAACCAGTAAACTCAACCGAGCTGTTTCTATCCTGTTATCTGTTGTTGTCTTGTTCAATATTTATTTATTTATCAAATCCACTGTAAGGGTGTAAATTGTGGGCTAAAATAACCTGTGTCACGGTGCATGAACCTCTCTTGGTTCGACGGAAACGTGTATGTGGATAACTGCTGTCCGGATAAGGTCACTATAAAAGTTGCCTCACAGTCACGTGCTCAGCATGTCACCTGATCAACTATCCTAATATGCCGTCGTTAAATCGATTTTTATGTGGAATAAATTTGCCCAACGCAGTGTCATCAATTCCATCGGTGGCGTGAGGGACATACACGGCAAGCTAAGCAAAATGCCACCTTAAACGACATCATTTAGCAAATTCTCAGTGGAGCGGTTTGAAATCGGAGATGAATTATTGCAAAATGATATAGCAAAAGATTTGTCTCCGTGTAGCTCTTGGTTTAAGTCAAATTTAATGATACTGAGATAAACGAGTCACCATTCCATACAAGTCATTCTCGAGGCCAATCCGCGCTTCAATTTCGGAGGAAATGGCTCTATAAAACAGCAAGTAAATGGTCCGTAGGACAAAACGTGTTCGCTACTATGCAATCATCATTACCACTGAAGGAAACTACTCACAAGGTTGCTGAAAACTCTTCGACCGCCCACGACTGGTTTCGCCCTTCTCGGGGCTCATCAGGCAGGCGCAGTCACCGAGTTTCCATCAACCTCATATTCTACTTGAACCCACTGCATTAAAAGTAGTGCTTCCATGATGACCTCAGCTCGTTTTCCTATCCGCTGCACAGGCACCGCATCAGTGACCCTGTTGTGTGCGATATTGGAGATAAAATATCACTATAAAGCAGTGTTTTACCCAACCCTTGAAGAAGTACATTACTCTCGTACATTATGTTGACACAATATTTATTTATCTAAAGAAGTAGTTGAACAACACTGAAAAGCGTCAACATGAGTCGGGTCATCTGACATAATTCCTAGTAGGTGCTNGAAAGACAGGCACCTCGTCGCACCACATTCCGATTAGTACTTGAAGACTATACAACTAGTCGATGAGTGACTAATTAACAGGGTAATTAGTTTCGATTTAGAGGGAATAAAGCGCCATTACCCTTCATGCACGTAGTTCAGGCGGCGTGATCTGGTGCTGAAGAAGAAGTCAACACTTGAATGGCCGATCAACACCAGGCCACGTGAACCGCATGACTGATGGAAGGTAGCGCTGAGTCATGTGACGGGCAGATCGTGGATTCGAGACGCAATGTAGATTTATGAGCTGCAAAGCGCCGCTTATTTACATAAGGAATTAAGCAAGTACACGTTTGTCCTTGACTTCTCGGACTTACTTCAATTCTAGGATCAAAACCCTTTTGTCTATCTATTCATTAAGAGTAATCTATCACCGGAAGCCCGGCCACATGTGGGTGAGTGTTCAATAACTGTCTACCTGGACAGTCTGTGCATACGAGCTCATGTTAGCGTGTTCATAGGCGGAGTGAGCATGCAATATTACGAGGATAAAGTTCTTGAGCCTCAGTCAAGACAGCCCATCCGTTGAAACCGCCTTTAGGTGTGTATGTAAAGGATATTTGGTATTCGCAACGATGAGAGGGAACCAATAGCCCACAGAATATTGGTAATTAAAGCGACGATATCGTAAAAACTGCTTTCATGATAGAATGGGCAGTTGAAAGAACAGAAAGACTGAAAAAAGCGTGCAGGTTATGTGGAGTAGATACTAGCAGAACTCAAATCATCATAACAGGGAATTCACAAGTGGTTTTTGAAAATATTCGGGTTTATCAGCGTCAGGTTGGTTCCAAAAGCGGTTCACTAAGGGATGATGTTCGACAAGAATAGAGTTGAATATTTTCATCAGGGTTTCTCATCCATTCTACCAAAAATGTTGGTTCAGTATAGTAACGGTCGCTTTATCATCATCTTTGCACTTGAATCTTACTGGCTAGCTACTACCTACGAAGCCCGCAGATATCATTGCAATCACTGAAAGCACCAGCAGCCCGGCAGTTGGTATCGTAAGAATTTGATGAACTGAAACCTAATATATATTTGCCTAGAAATGGGTTTACCTTAGATCGCAATGGTTTCGTCAATCAGCGAGACGATAAATACACGCTGTTTGCACACTAATGAAAAGTTTCTTATTAGTTCGGTACATGGCACACAGAAAACAAACAGATCTTTCATAGATGTAACTCACTATACTGGTGGTACTTGAGCAGATCAGTGTGTTACCTGTCCCCCGCCGAAAAATACACACCTCTCCCTGGGGACCATACGAAATCTTATATTCCCGGGGTGTTTGCTACTAGGGGGATAACGAGAGTATCACTCGCATAGAACAATAAAATTATCTATTTCTTTCAACTTCCAAGCAAATACGGGGGGGGGGAATTAGAGCTAAGAGCACTCCTGTCAGGAGACGTGAACCTACGATGGTAATATGCAAATATAGCCTGGCACCAGCGTCCGAATGGAGGTGAACTTGCAAAAGACAGGTAGGTCTGTTCTGTCTGTTCTGCTTCTATGACAGACTTTGTACCGTTCCACTCGGGTCAGCCCGGGCATACACAGTTTGATCACCGGATGAGAAGTTGACTTTCCGCCAACCAACGTGAGGATTGCGCTTACCTAATCCGTTCATCCGAGTGGTCCCGATAAAAAAGAAGAAAAGCGTTCAGCTGCAGCACCCTTTCGGTGCCTAGCTGCCATACCACCCGAAGGAAGCACGAGGGCTGGGATACTGCCAGGTCGCCCAGGCTTAGACAGGGGAAGTAGAGAGGTGGAGGTCGGGTTCGAACCACGGACCTTCCGGTCAGTAAATTCGCGCTCTAACCACTTGGGCCATCTCGCCCCCCCCCATCTCGTCCTGCCGCCTGAATATGATTTGGGGAAGCTAAGCAATGAAATCATCCTACATCCTCCAAATAATGGTAGAGTAGCCAACGCAACCCACAGGTTCATTCAACGGACGACAATATCTGCGCACTGTAATCTAAATCAGCAGACTTATTTTACCCACATGGTACTGGTCAAACCAATAGCCAGGATCAAAACACATATTGTTGGCTTCCTCAGTTCATTCTGTTTCTCAGACCAATATGTAGAAATGAGTGGACTCTCGTCAAAGTAGCAGCTTGTTCTATTCTTACTCTGCTGTTTCACTGTACTTTAGCTTGATCAGATTCAGACTGAAATGAAAAAATGTGGTAATATAGGTGAATGAGATATTTTTGTTGATTCTGAAATGTTCCTCTCTCACTATGAGTATCCTATAGTGGCAATTTTGTTTTCGAAATACATCTCCCGCATGATGCACGTTCCATTTTGGAAAGAAAGTTGTCTATGAAAGACATTAGTACCCGTGTGACCGAGATACTGGTGCGAGCATATTGAAGAAACTTGCACTGACAAGTAAGTTACTTCAGATGTAATACACCATCCATAAGGTTGTTGAAAACTCTTCGACAGCCCAAGACCGGTTTTGCCTTTGCTGGGGCTCATCAGGTAGGCACAGTTCCCGAGTTTCCGTCAACCTTATGTTCTACTTGAACCCTACTTACACGAAATTAGCGAAATACGCTCATTTGCTCATAAATATCATAAAAGAGAGACTCAGCTAGGTTCTAGGTGTGAATACCCTGTCAAAACTAAATTGGTATGCAAATGAATGCATTTTGCTAAGTCACTTCAGTTTTGTCTGGATCTGAATTTCCGCTCCGATGGTTCGGGTTTCTTGCGACTGATTGTGATTTTCGACGAAAATACTTGGGACAGACACCAACCACAACGACCCAGACGAAAGCTTCACGTTCCTCAAGAAAAACATCGAGCTCATAAATTGAAAACCACAACCTTGCTGAAAACTCTTCGGCAGCCCACGACCGGTTTCACCTTTCTCGGGGCTCATCAGGTAGGTACAGTCCCCGAGTTTCCGTCAACCTTATGTTCTACTTGAACCCAAATTGGACTGTTCTCGAGAGACACACTCATTTGCAAATCAATTTAATTGCTTGTTCATATGGATTTGGCAGTGATGTCTGTCAAAAACGAGATGAAGCGCCCATTAAAACGTTCAGCTGTAGCACCGTTCAGGTGCCTAACTGCCACGCTACCCGAAGGTTACACGAAGGCTGGGATACTGCCAGGTTGCCCAAACCCAGACAGGGGAAGTCGATAGGCAGAGGTCGGGTTCAAACCACGGAGCTTCCGGTCACTAAATTCGCGCCCTAACCACTTGGGCCATCTCGCCCCAAGCGTCCATTAGACGCACCGTTAAATCAGCGACAGATACAATGCGATGAACATCCTTCTCTTTCAAGCCTTGTCGGTTCGATCGTGCTCTTCCAGATGGCCTATAAAACCCGTACAGATCAGCTAGGAGCTATCATGACATCCCCGCCAGAGACTGTTCTGAGTCGAAATTCAATGCTGACAAATAAAGAATCATAATTCACTGGGACAAAGCGGAGTCGGTGGTTTTATTTCAAATCGCAAATAATCACTTGTAGTTATCGCTTGTTTGCTCAACCTTACTCAACCCATACACTGGTGTCCCATATCGGAAATCCATTACGGGAAAAATATGAGACATCTGGAATACCTTTGGATACCCTGGATAGCTATGGATTCCCTATTGGTCTGTCATTACGTTTGAATAGGTGAGAGTGTTCACGCTTGAGTGAGGTGATTGGTTTACCCGACGCCTCCAATGATACCCTAGTAACTGCCCTGGTTGTGGCAATCGACTGACTCGCCTCTCAGGACGTCTCAGCCAGGTAGCTCCACGGACGCTTGAAACTTGTCGGACAAGTTCTCGCCTAGCTGCATATGATTGCGGGATTTGTAGAATTCACGTTCACCTCGCTCTCATTTGAACAGTCCTTCTCCTGTCCTGGCGCAATTATTCTGGTAAGTCCACACCAATGTGGGGAATTACGGGTTTGGAATTTCGCTCTTATTAGAACTCACCCGCAGTGTGTCCTTTGTTGTCCCAGGTACGGAACTCTGGATATCTGGCATGCGAAGCGAGCGTGTTATCGCTCAAGAGTGAACACCTGTTCACCTGTTCAGACTTGAAAATACAGGTGCTTGCGCTGGCAAAGTAGTGATGACACTCGCCTAACATGTCAGTTCAAACCCCGACATGGCCAAGGATATAAACTGTGGATGGGTAAAAGCGAAACCTTACTTCAATGCTGTGTTCTGGTATGGACTCATCATAGTAATTGTGCAGGACTGTTAGTCAGATGTGTCACTCGGCTATACGTACATTATGAAGAGCAACAAAACATTTTCCAAACGGTCTTAAGCAAAAATCGAGTTTGAAAGAGTGGAATTCTTTGAGATGCCGCGTTACTAAATTTTCGGAAGGAATATGAACTAGGCTTGTCACGGAACCCAGTACAAACACAATGCGGCCTGCATTTTAACAGGCCAAAGATTTTTGAAAAGCAAACGTCTTCGTTGAATGCCTAGGAGATAAATTCACCCCCATTAGGGATTGAATTTCACCACGACATGAAACGTCAAAACAAATATATTTACTGCTATTGGTCATTTGGACACATCACGAAACCCACCGAGTGCATCGCACTCAGGGCCACTTTGGTCCTATCAAAAGCACCGAATCTTTATACTGTTAGATCCTCAGTTCTCATCTACTCTACAATACGGTGAAGCATGATATAATGTAGTACAATAAACCATAGTGTGATATAACATAGTATGACATTATATAAGTACTTGCCCACACAGTGACACGCAAAAACGCGACGATCACCCGAAGCAGCTAGAGTCTACCTGGCATTACTGTCAGGGACGGAAGGCCGCATTGCAATATGAAAACAGCCCTGTTACCTACAATTTAACCCAACGATTAAAGTTTCGTGCTTCCGCGCAGTACGAGCTGTGCAAAACTGCGGTCAAATTGGACCCAAGCTGGTTGAAATAGGAAAAGTTTTGCCCGCACCGACATCATTCGGAGTCAACCAAGGAGTAAATTCATGTTGCTGTATACAACAGTTAGTTTAGCTATCTTTACTTGAAAGTTGATAGAGCCAAAACGCGACCTCTTGATTGTTTCGATATTGGGGTCAGATGACAACACGCGCACAGTATGACACTGTCGGCTTCTGGAGGTTTACAGCAAGTATATCTAGGAAAAAGAAACCGACCACTTTGGCCCACCTTTGCCAAACGCGCATTGCTCTACCCGTTCGCGCTTCTGTCACAAGGATCAGAATTTTTCAGCGTGGTCACAGAATAACGGTTGGCCGAACAAGCATGCTCAATAGGAAGTAAATCCAGTGGAGCTAAGGTACTTAGGTCAGGTGACATGAGTCGCTGTCGTACCTATGCGACCAGACAAAATTCGGTGAATGTAGTAGCCAGTTTACTGTGTAGAGCCCATCTAATCCCTTCATTGCACACAAATATTTCGGACGGTACACTTATTGATCAGCCTTCAAAATTGTCGCCCAAACAACAAGTAGGTAGGTTGGTCCGATTCACATTACAGCTACGCTGTTTTTCACTCACTGATGAACGTTGTTATGATTGTAGCCTGGACTAACTTACTGTAAGAATCAAAACAAAGCCTACTGACAGTGTATCTTCAAGGCTTATTGCGAGAGCTTGAATCAATAGAATACGCATATTGTGAGGTTTCTCCTTGGGGAATCGGCTACTGCAGGAAACCCCTAATGTCTTTTCGTTTTTTTTTTGGGAGGGGATCTCAACGGATGTTTACGAAAGCCTTTCCTGGATGTGTGGTCCTCCATGGAAAAGAAAGATTGTACCGTTCAAACGCAACCCGTAAACAAGTTTTACTGCAGTACCGAAGAAAAAGCCAAAAGACTAACCCTAACTGGACTGTCGATGTACTTGTGACGAAAACGTTTGCCGGATGAAGTTTTGCCTTCGTTATAGGAACAATAGGCAACTAGTCAAGTTGTCAGTCTCGTGGACTTTTGAAAAGCAGCACGTACCACCAACCCGCTTCCGCACGTGACTCTAAACGCACGTGATTACTCGCAACCCCCTCCTTCATGCATATGGACACACCTTGGCTTCCATGGTTCCGGAAAAAAGCAGGCGTTTCGAACAATTCGCACGTGTTCTACCCTGGTGAATGCAAGTGCATACGTGTGTAGCATGGCTGTGTGCGAGTGTGAATATGTATGGTCGTATACCTGTGAATACTGCTCGAAATCTAGTAATACAATTAATAACTGCAATTAGTGATAAAAATGACATTGTAGAAAAATAGGAATAAAATCTCACGCGGTTCGAGACAAGTGGGCGGAGTCTTAATCAGGAATCGGTGAGATTTCACTAACAATGTGCAAAAATATGAGGAAATGTCTTCGGTGGAGTTGGCGTGGTGTACTCAATAAGTGGACGTGAGCAGGGAAAAAACAGTGATGGGAAGAAGAGCCAGTGAAAACAAGCGAACTAAGAAAAGGAATGTGAAATGATAAAAATTCCTGCGATCACTGTCTGAGAAACAGTTCGACCTGTTTTGTAGGACCAAATTCGTTAGCAAACAGACAAGGGAACTGCTGCTGACATCACAAGAATACAACGGAGTGAGCCAAGGCCAGTAATAACTGCAAAAATTAATCCGATCAATAAAGAGTAAAATTATCAACAAATCATCTAGTGAAAATAGTATCAAGAACTAAGGCAGAGTGGGAGGGTAAATGAGCATTACATCAGGTTACGAAGATCGCGGGAGGTGGAATGGAACCACGAAATCCGCTACATCGGCGACTAGCTACATGAATGGACTAAGCTTAAGTGAACGAATCGAACTCGGCTATGAAACAGAGAAAACTGGATGCACATGGTGAGTGCAACTCAGGAAGGATCTGATACGAGATGTCCGTGATGGAATGAATTGCACTTGATTCTGGAAAAGTGCAAAAATGAACGATGGGAAATACAGCTGGCTAATTGAGGACTTACAGCTAATTACAGCTACAACCGGGAAAACAGTCCGCAACAAGAAAGACGATGAAAGTTCTCACGATTCACACGTTTACTGATTCATTGTCCTCTTGAGGAAACGTCTGCGGTTGACATTGCATCTGTCGCAGTTGTTCTTGCTGTTGGCGACGCCGCAAACGTCTTGCACGTCTCCGGCGAAACCGATCCACGATAATCGGGACAACGACCAGTCCCGATAAGATCAAACCCACACCGGAAATGAAGAAAGCCAGATTCTGCGACCCTGTTGAATCAATTATGAAACCTGTACGGAAGAAATCCAGAGAAAAGATGGCGTTGGCAATGGAATCGGATAAAAGAACGTCGAAGTCGCAGGGTGAAAAACAAGTGAACACTAAGGCGAAGAATGTGAAATGACATCTGGCTTTCGATGGATGACGAACAAATAGACTCAAAAGTGCTCGCTGGTAATTGAAAATATGACAACTTATCCGATTGGTCAGCCGGCAAGGATTCGCCACGGGTTTACCTGTAAGACAAATTGGGCAATCCAGGAAAGTCCAAAAAAAACTGAACACAGGTCATGTGCCTCACGGTAACCCGAAGGGTTTCCGGAGGCGGAAACGACGGTCACAAATGAGCTATTCACATCTAGTATAAGATGAATGACGGGAATTCTTCTTGTCTTCTATCGTCACTTGGCTCCCATCTAAGTATACGTGCTTTCATCATTCTGTCAAACTGGTGGTGAATAGCAAGAAAAACTATACTAAGATGGGATGACCACTTATGAAGATGGGCTTACCTGCGGTCCTCAATATCCCCAAATAAGAAGGGAACTGGAAAATGGTTCAACGACACTAGATCAAACAAGGTACGAATGGTCGGCGGCTAGCTCATATATGCATACAGATGGCGTATGGGAAAAAAACAGACCGTTTTGGGTTAGGCGAACCAGCTTTTGAGTCTCATTGGCGGTAGTGTCATGGGCTACCGACAGCTTACTGAATCTTGAAGGATAAGCTCGCAGCCTACACACTTCAAAGCAAATACCGAACACGGAAGTTCTTGCCTACCAGCGCGGTGCCTTGTCGGTTGGGTTCCAGGCCGATTACTAACCACCTACTTGGTATAGTCCCCAGTTAACCCCTTCTATAACTTTAGCAATGTACTGCCAGAAAGTTTACTATAAGTCGTTTGTGCAAGTTAGGTGATTATACCAAAAAGACGTTGGAGTAACTGTTCACCAAAAAACGTCTTCTATTGTGCGAACGAGATTTCATAGGAACACGTGAGGTACATGTGGAAATCCCTTGACATATCTCCAGACACACTAGCACATTGGTTCTATAAGCCTGGGAGAGAACCGGTACGTGATGAGACCAATATGTCAGGGTGTTTTGCTAATCCAAAACCCAATTTTGCATTCGCGTACCAAAAACATCCAGACACGGTTCACCCATGAAAAAGCGGAATAAATCTGCATTCAAATCGAGCCAAATGGAAAGAACTAGTCGAACAACGCGCCCCACAACCGTAGCGCAGAAACAAATTATCTGTACCAGTAACTCTTTGACCGTGTACTAATGTTTCAGATTATTTCGGTAGTTTGGCCCAAGTGTGTGTATGCACCAGATCATGGACTCCGTTGAAAAACAACATAAACAAGGAACCGTAAATCGGGGCAAACAAGCCAGTAACAATAACAGAACTGCAATACGCCATTCGATGCGGGTGGCCCGAAAGAACCGCCTAGGTCTAGCGACTTCGGGATGGAACTAATGTGCACCGTCGGTGTATTCTCGGAATAAACCTAAACATTCCTTACTTAAAACACCAGGACTGGCCACGCCTGGAATTAAACTATAGGCATCGCGTTTGAACTCTACTCATCTGGGTTCTTCCATACCGAATATCCGTAAAGCAGCGGAATACAGCTTTCGGATTAAAATGTGATCAGCTTAAAAGAATAGTATAAAAGAGAGGGACAGTTGAGCCTACCGTTGGCAATAGATTCATTTGCGAATGAGCGTATTTCCCCAGTACTGATGGCCTTCTTTATGCGCCAACAAACCACAGCAGGAAACACCAGTTAACACATGATAGCGACATGTGTACTAGATTGCTATGTTGAGGACGACGTCCGTAGTCAGACGGATTACTCAATCGTCAACCTTCATTAAACTAATTGGGAGAAAAATACTAACACCACTTAGCTTCGCACTCAGTTGCATTTAGGCGACTAATAGGCCATCAGCACTGAGCTAAATTCGTCCCTCTGCGGACGAACAGTCAGGAGAAACAGACCAAAACCGGGTTTCTTCTGGGAGGAAACGATATCAAGGTTCAAAGTACGGTGGTCCCTCCATGGAGAATAAATTATTTGTCATTCAGTTTATTTCTAACAGCATTTTCATAATTAATATATACAAGTGGGGAACCACTCTATCGGAATTTCCTGTGACAGTGTTACCGAAATTCGCACTACGAAAAGCTAATCCTGCAGTGTGGCCTTCATCTAGCACACAGCCACCATGGCCAAGACTTTCAAAAACAGAATAAAATGAAACTGGTTGGATCATTCGTGCCTAAGGCGACTTCTATTCTAACGTTCTGAAGTTCAGTAGTCGGTCGTAATCCCAGTAGAAGCTTCACGCGAGGAAGGATCCACTACAGGCCTCTGTAGCAGAAGCTTCTGCCGTAAATGTACGTTGTACTATTGAGTCTAGCGTATGTACGTTGAAGAAACTTTTGTTCTGGTCCTGATAAGGGCTTTCTTAACCGATTTCTACTGCACAGCCATGAGATCACTGTCTGATTTGGGTTTATTATCGCCGTCGATGCTCAGCTCTCCTTCAAAAGTTCCAATCCCAGTGATCGATAAAACTCTGGTAGTTGGAACTGCAGCACAACCCATAGACTGAGTACGGCTAAAGACAACTATGTTCTACGCGGTTTAGTAACCATGATGTCAACGAACCTTCGAGTACGAGGTATACCAGGGGAACTTTTCTGTAAATTGGCTAGAAATTACTCCGCGGGTGCGTGTAATCTTATTTCTGATGCTTGTTGTGCCACCGAAGATGTTGGAAATGTCCACCACTGACGTGGCTGCAACGCTCTTCTCATTGTAAATAAGTATGGCCGGTAGACATATTGCAACAAAAAACAGACATGCCAACCAGTGTTTTATTAATCAATCAGGCTCTTCAGTGATGTTGAACACGATAACCACGTTACATAAATAACGGGTTTGCGCAGTCTATCCCACGCATGCATGCCCTTAGTGACCCACTTCAGTTATAATCCTCGAGAGTCATGATGTTTCATGCTGGCAGGTGGTGAGATGTGTAATTACAACAATCCACAATCCCTTCCCCAAGGGAGACAGACTTAGGCTGGAAGGTATCATTTGAGTGTGCACCAATCCACACTCGGAACGAAGAGGCTGATTGCCCAGTCCCCAAACCCCCCAATTGGACGTCGAAAATGGGTCACCAAATCGCTATTCAGTTTCCGCTGATGATGGAAACCATTCAGTCCATGGGGACAGCAATGTAGGCAGTCTGCCAATAGGTAAAAATGCATCAAGGCACGATCGACGTCATTTTGCTTGTTTTAACGCCGCGCATGACGTAAATGTTTTGTGGATGAAAGCCCAGAATGAACTGTATTTAGACACAACTTCTTGTTCAGGCGGCCCTAGACTTCGTCCCAATCAACATTACGTACGGCTGCTTTGAAATACACGACTTTTATTCAAGTTTACGGTGCGTTGTAAGTTCACATTTGACGCCAAAAAATATGTCTCGTTCTAGAAAATATTAACTCTGAAAAGTTGTCTTTTAGAACGTTTCCGAACTCCTTTTGACAACCCTGAGTGGGCGACCACGGGCTATGTTGCATGGATATCACTGAAGGGGTGGACAGCGAAGTGCAGCTTATTACAGAAATCATAATCAACCGACGGTGAACTTGCGTCGAAGGAGTCTTGTATTGTTCATTTTTCCATCCTCTGTACGTTCCACCTTACTTAACACGGGTCGGGTAAAAGTACTGAGAATTGAGTAAACGATACAAATGATGACAAATACGTTAGAATCTCATTCTGGTGTTCGCTCTACATGGCGAAAATATCCCGTGTTATCTATGAGACTCGTAAAATAACTCTTCTATGAGCCTCTTTTCACGTCGGTTGCTGTTTACCTCAAATGGATGGAAAAATGCTTAAAAAGTACAACTTTGAAAGTGTGCCACCCGAGAGATGGCGCCTCCATAAATAGTGTCATTATGGCTAGCCCCAAGGATGAGCGCACTCCAGGTAGAACACCTTTATACATGCATCAAAACTTGTATTTGAAGGGTTTCCTAATGAGCTTCTTCTCGTGGGTCGGGTTTCAGATACACTGCAAGGGTAGAAAGTACATCACTACCTCAAAAATTGGCTGAAATGAACCCAGAAAGTTCTTAAAGTTTATCTGCCACCACAGAGCACCACGAACGAGGTGCGCAAATAGATAGCCTGTTCAACTTCAGTGACTGAACTATTCACAAGATCGATGCGGGAAATGTCCAGGAGATGTACGTTTCATCGACTGAAGAACTGTCAAGGCCGCTACAGCTCATACACCCGACTGACTGGTGCTACGATTGCTTTTGTATCGCTTTCGTGGCGGATTGTATGTGAAAAGGAAACCTTATTAGAATGATGAACATTCATCAAAAGCATGGAGAAAATCACTAGGAATCAGATCACGTTAGCTTGGTTCCACAGTGTGAATAAAAGGGGAACAGGAATAAGGAGCAGGGAACCGGCGGATGTGTCTGGTGCTACTTCTCACCAGCACTACCAGAGTAGAGAACATGACAACACCAATTCTTTTGTCATCTGATTGGGATATAATCTGCCCGGCGCAGAACTCAAGTTGCACCATGATGACCAACTATTTGGAAGTAGTCTGGTATACTAGGGAGTAGCGCGTTCCAAAAATGCGGTGTTACGGACGTACACATGGACCGCTGACGTTCTGTTTAAGGACGTGCTTTCGTGTGTACAATCATATCTGCGTTCATGAGTTGAAGGAAGCTATTCTCAACAGGCGAAAGCGGGGATCGTGGAAGTTTCGACGAATATACTAGGTCGGCTGAGGGAGAACCTACTACATTCTAGATGATAGACTCAACTTTCGACATCACCTTCGAAGGCCAGTTGAATGCCAACTTCGGTTTTTGGCAGAGACACTTTGAAGGCTATATACGTTTTGTACAAGCTGGAGCTGAGTAATGCAACTCAGTAAGAGCTAT